CCAGCACTGAGCACTGCCCAGACTGCCCAGGGTTTCTTGCATATTCCCTCCAACTGAGGGCAGCTCCAGAGGGGCTAGGTGTGACAGAGGACCACCCCTTCACCTCACCAAGGTCCCCAGGGATGTTACTTCATCTGGAGCTGACCCCAGGAGGCAGGAGACATGTGGGACCACATGTGGGATGTCATCAATGGAGCCAGACCCACAGCTGCCTGCAAGGGATGCTCAAGAGCACGCGTACCCCACCAGAAGTGTGGGACAGGGCTTTGTCCCCCATCCCACTGAGGGACATCACTCCCAGGGCTGCTCCCTGCAGCCAGTCAGCATTTGGCCATGCTGTGGGAAGTGCCTCAAGGCTCTGGCTGAGCTGTGCAGAGAGAGGTCTCACAGACGGATGGAGTGATGCACACCCCGGGCAGGAGAGGCTCTGCACGTCTCCAGACACATGATGCCACTTTCACCCCTCCTGCCCTGCTCCTTGCCTTGGGGTCTCACCCTGCAAACCCCTGGCACTCACATCCCACTGCAGCGGGGCTTGAAGAGACCCTTCACTGGGGAAAGAGGGACCCCCACCACATCCCAGAGCTCCCCAGCACACCAGCTGAGCACCAAAGGTGTGGGTCATGCCCAAAGGGACCCAGAGCCCCAAAACACAGACTGAGGCCCGAGCATGAGCTCTGGGCACCCTACAAGAGTGGGAGGCTGCAGAGAGCCCATCTACATCCCCATCTCACAGCGAGGGACAGCAGCACCTGGACACTGGCAGCATGGTGGACCCTGGAGCAGCACTGGACAGAGCCCTGAGCCACAGCTCAGCCCCAGGCTGCCACCGGCTGCTCTCGCACACAGCGGAGCAGGACCACGGCCAGGAGGAGCTAATGAAGTGACTGAGGAGATGGAGGTCTCCCAGAGAGGGAGTCCCCAGTGCACCTCTCCCACAGCAAGCATCTGGCTCGCCTCACCGCCTGGTTCGTGGAAGCGGCCGGGCCGGGCCACCCTGTCCCCCCTTGTCCCCAGCCCCGTACCTTCAATGCCGCTGATGATTTTGAAGCAGCGGGTGGTGAACCAATAGGAGATGAGGAGGAGGATGGCAATCAGGGAGGCATAGAGCAGGCTGTCGTTGTGCAGGGATGTCCTGTCCATGGCTCCATCCCCCGTGCCCGCTGTGCCACACGCAGCCCCGCTGTGCTATCTGGGGCAGCCCTGTCCCGGCAGTCCCCTGCCAGAGGAGCGGCCACCGCGGGCAGGGAGGCGGGGGGCCGCACGGGCAGGCAGGCAGGTAATTGGGAGCGTTGTGTGAGAGCCAGGCTCCCAAACCAATTACCTTAATTGTGCTCAGACAGCACATGGCAAACAGTTAAAAATAACCCTCCTGGCCCGGGGGGAGAGTGGCACCATCAGCCAGGAGAAGGAGGCAGGGGGCAGAGAACAGACCGGGCTCATTACACATGTGGCTGTGTCTCAGTGCCATGGGGCCAGCAAGGCACCACCACAGCCCAAGGGCTGCCCTGAGTTCCCTGATGATCTTGGGATCCTCAGGGCTCAGCTCCTTGCTGCCATACCACAGGTGAAGCTGGGAGTCCTGGAAAAGAGGCTCCCTAGGGAACAGTGCTGCCAGGATCTCTGCTGATGCCTGTGTCCGTCCTTGCTCCAGACACGAGGCCTTGAAGGAAAGTGTCTCTGCAGTTCTGCCATCCTGGAGAGTTGGGTCTGGCATCCTGTTCCCTGTGTCCCACAACAGCACTTCCCCAGGGATGTCTGTGATCAGCATCTGGTTCTCTCAACCTGGAGTCAGAGCCAACCAGCCTGGCTCCCGCTCCGTCATGCCAGGTGCATTTAGTGCCTCTCTGTGTTTGGGCACACTCACTCACAGACCCCAAACCACACTGGATTAGCTGCACCCATGCCTGAGACACTTCTGGCCCCTGCACAGCACTTGGCCCCACCTGCTGTCCCATGGGACACAGGGCTGGGGAAGACACCGGACCCGAGTGTTTCATCCCAATCCCTCTTTGCACACGAGATGTCCCATCCCTACCCTGCAGCCACAGCCAGGGGCTGTGGCCACCCAAGTGTGTGAGAGTACAGCATTGCCCCAGCTGTGCCCCTTTCAGGGAGCAGAATGCAAGCATGCAGATCCATCCCTCCCTTCTCTCTCCCCTGAGATCACCGGCTCTGAGGATCCACAGGTGACACAGGACAGGATGGCAAAGTGGCCCTGGCACATGCCCATGGCTCAGCACTGGGGAGAGCAGCAGGCCCTGTAACGCTGCCCCAGGAGCAGGCAGCCCAGGCTGGCACCGAGCCCATGCTGCCTGTCCCTCTTTGGGCAGTGACACTGACAGCCATAACGCATCTCCCACCCAGCCAGCCCTGCCCTGGCTCCCCAGTGTTGCTGGCAGCACAGCCCTGCCACGCTGCTAAATTTAAACACCCCGCCAGCCACCTGCTGGGTGGTGTATAAATAACCCCTGGAGTGTGGTTTCTTGCCCAAAAAGCAGCTCCATGCACACAGCATGCCACAAGCACACCCAGAGCCATCAGGTAGCCAGGTGGCTGGGCCCTGTCTCCATCCTCCCAGCACCAGCAGCAGCTGGGAACAGGGAACTGTCCCCACTGCAGGATGGAGCAGATGGGGACGGAGTAGGGCAACCATCCATTGTCAAAGGACCTGCCTCTTCAGGAGGGCACCATGCACCTTGACTGTGGCCAGGATCTGCCCTCCTTGAGAGCCACCCCTGTGGCTACCCCTAAAGTGCTCTTCCCTCGGTGCAGCAGGGTGTTAGCTCACTACTTCCACAGAACGTGCCACAGGACCTGCTGGGCCACAATGAGGTGATGGTCCCTGGGCACAGCTGGAAGCTGCTGCCCAGGTCTCTCAGGTGCTCCTGACCTGCCGGGGGCCAGCCTGATGGATAGGAATTTCTCCTTTTTTTTTGGTTCTCGGGGCCATCATCCATTAGGGAGAGTTAAATTTAGGTTAAAGCTGATCCCTTATTACCTTGCTGCTAATCAGAGCGCGAGCAGATTATTAATAAGCACATTAAAATATTGGTGAAATGCTATTTTTGGGAGGTGAAGTCACAGTTTTAATCTGGTTAATTGATTGAGTCATTTCTCTTTGCCCTCTCTGGCAACCCGTCCTTGGCCAGCTCCCCAGGGCACCCAGCCAGGGGGCCCCTCACCCCAGGCCCACCTGGTCAAGCACCCAGTGCCTTCTGCAGTGAGCTCCAGGAGACCTCCCTCACTTAGGCAGGAAGGACAGGGGGCCACTGCCCCCCGAAAGGGAATGATGTGGTAGGATAACAGCCAGAGAGGGGTCAGCATCTTGGTGACCCAAGGAGCAGCAGCTGGGGAGGAGGGGAGCTGAGAGGGGAGAAGACTCTGCAATCCCCACACCCAACTCAGAGCTGTCCAGCTTTGGGGTTCACCCCACTTTGGCTTGTCTCAGAGCTTGGGAGGACACCAAGAAGATGGTGAGGGCAGTCAGTGCCCCACGCCCAGCCATGCCCTCTGTGCCATCCCAATCCCATGCACACCCAGCAGGGCTGCAGGGAAAGCCCTTGGTCCTGCACAGCACCACACATGGTCACTCCAGAAACCCAGTCCCAGGGGACACCTGCTACCGTCCCAATGCCACAGCACCCAGCTGTAAAGCCCAGGACACTGGGAGAAGGACCTGCAGGGTTTGGGAGCATCCCGAGGTCCCATTCCCTCTTTGCTCCATCACCTGCAGCTCTGCCCCTCATGCCTGGGCTGGACTCAGCTGACTCATCCTCTGCCCCCTCCACTCCAGGCAAGCTGGCTGGTGCCCAGTGGAGCCAGCTAGCGGGGCTGGCCCTGGCACTGCGTGTGGCACACCCAGCCTCCAGAGCCTGGCACGCTGCTGGCCTTGCCAGGGGGACTGTCCCCTGCTTTGACCGGGAGCCTCCGTGCCAGGGCTTGGGTCCCTGTGGGCAGCATGCCAGCTGGGCACGGCTCACAGGTCAAATATTGCTCCCACATCCCAGACTCCCGGGCTGGGCCGAGCGCTCCATGCTATTCCTGCATTTCTCTGGCCCCAAGGACAGGCACAGGCTGTGGAGACCCAGGGGTTTCCCCAGGCAAGGAGGGGACAAAACCTGGGAGGGGTTTTCCAGGCAGGCTGAGTCCTGGCAGAAGCAGTGCAAGTGCCAGCCCTGCTCTGAGGCGTGACGCTGCCACATTGGCCTGACAAGGCTTTCCCACACCCACGGTGCAGTGCAGCCCTTCCCAGCACTGCTGGGGCCCAGAGGGGCAGCCCGGTGGTTCTCAGCAGGGTAAGGCCATGGGGATGCCAACTTTGTCCCTGCACAGGGACGCAGGGACAGGGGTGGGAGTAGGGCACCCAGATTCCCAGCACACACAGGCCCATGATGACCTCCCCAGGATATGCCCACTGGGGTCAGGAGGTGGTGCTGGGTGCACACCCAGAAGATGAGGCTCTGGGCAGCTGGCAGGGCAGTGCAGGGGCTGGCACAGGGGTGAGGGTCCTGCCATGGCAGTGACACCAAACCAGGAGCACACAGCAGGCAGGCTCTGTCCCCAGGACCAAGCATCCCAGGACAAAAGCACCAGCAGATGCAGGCACCAGGGTGTGTCCCTGCCCTGGCTCATGGGGCACACCCAGGGCTTCTTTGTCCAGCTAGATGGAGGGCATGGCTCCAGCCCCAGAGGAGTCAGATTCCTTGACATGTCAGGAAGCATCAGACCAGCTGCACTTTATTTGTACAGCAGTTCTTTCATGCTCCACTTTTCATCAGTCCCCTCCCCAGATAAAACATTCCCTCACCCCAGGCCCACAAGGGGCCTTTAGGGGTTTTTGCTGCCTCCTGGAACCATCTTCAGCTTTGCTCCACACAGAGCTCAATGCAACCCCTCCACCAGCATTTCTCCCCTCCCCAAACGACCCCACAGAGCCCACCAGACAGACACCCCCTGTCACAGAGCAGAGACCCCGTGTCCCCCAGGACGGTGCTTACCTTGGGAGAGAGTCCCGGTGACAAACTGGTAGAAGAAGCGGATCACCCGGCCCAGCTGCCGCTTGCAGCGCTGCTGGCAGTGGCTCATGGCTCCAGCTCCCGGCGCTGGGGAGGGACCCAGCCGCACCCCCTCCCGGCCGCCGAGCAGCCCCCAGCTCCTGCGAGCCGCGGGCGATGCCCGGGGCAGGACCGAGCCTTCCTGCCCGGGGCGAGCCTGCGGGCATCGGCGGCCGCCGCAGGCCGGCGGAGCGGGCAGCGGCAGCGCGGCCCCGCTCCCGGCAGCGGCAACTTTTGCGCGGGGATGCTCCGGTGCGGCGGGGCAGCGGGACACGGAGCTCGGCGGCGGTGCCCTCCCGGGGCTCGGGCTCACCAAGGCCGGCCGCTGAGCGGGATGTCCGGGTTGGTCCCCGCGGGCCGTGCCCTCCCGCCGGTCCCTCCGTGCCGCAAAGTTGCGGGGAGCGGCGTCAGGGCGATGCGGGGTGCCGGGGAGCCCGGCGGGGCCAGGCAGCCCTCCGGCAGAGGCGGATGGACGCCTCCCTGGCTGGCAGAGCCTCGGGCTGCCCCCGGCTCCTGATCCGCCCCTTGGCACCGGCTCGACCCGGCACTTCACGCCCCGGCTGGCCGGGAACCAGAGGCAGGTTGGTATGGCAACCCGCAGACTCCACAGGTCCCGCTGACCAATGAGGCACCGCTGCATCCCAGGGCCGCCTCTCTCCAGGAGCAGGCGAGGATGCTCCTTCCGGAGGGAAGCCGGCACCGAGAGCATCCTGCAGCCTTGAGCAGGAGCCATCCACTCCCACAATCGAGTGTTGTGAGCATCCTGCATCCCTGGGCATCAGTCCTTCATCACTGCAAGTGTCCTGCACCTCCAAGCAGCCACTTCTGCTAGCTCCACACAGGGGAGGAGACAAGGATGGATGCAAGGATAGGAGGAAGAGGAGTCAGGTTCTGAGACCACCCAGGCTAAGAGCTGTTCACTCCAAAGCTCAGCCTGGCAGCAAGTTGCTAACTTGCACAGTATGTCAGAGCCAGAAGACAGACTGGAGTGTGGTGGCAGTGGAATTTCCTTGCTCCCAGAGCCAGCCTGAGACGGTCTGTGCAGACTCAAGACAACATCCTTTCCCCTAGGACCATTTTCCCAGCTGTACTCCATCTCTACAGTGCATTCACACCCTACAGCAGCAGGATTCTATCAGTTCTGAATCCACCCAGACTCTATAATCTCATAAATTTCATCTCTTATTAATAGGGAAGGAAGCGAACAAAAAGGGACCTGATGGAAATTACAGCTTCTGTTCCCTCAGGGATGGAAAAGAGGGTGGAGCCATGATACAGCCAGGAACAGCCAGACTGTCCAGTCCCTACCAACACCTCAAGACGAGTCCAAAGGGAAGGAGCAAGAGCAGCACCACTTCCTACCAACCCAGTACTGGGGTTGGCATAGGGGAACCTCACCTCCTGCTCCCCAAAAGAAAGGTCATCCCCCCCAAACCAAGCCCCCTCTGTGTGCCCCCTCTCTTACACAGGCTATGGCCATGCAAAAGGGGGCCAGCTGCCCAACAGTGTCCCCACAGCACAGCATGACAGCGTCCAGGGGGAGGGGATGCTGCACTGGCCACTGCATAGCTGAGCCAGGTTTGGAGAGATCCTAAACAAGGCACAACACATGGCACAGCAGGGAGGTGCAACCCTTTAATAATACACCCACAAAGCCCCAGGCCAGGGAAGGGCTGCAAGGGACATCAACCTCACAAGAGGAAGAGGCCAGTCCAGGCCAGCTGAGGCAGACTGGGCAGCTCAGCACACAGAGACACAGATGTAGAGAATCTGTGAATGCAGCACCTTGACAGAATCTACCCCTGTGGACCACTTGCCCCCAGCTGAAAGTTCAGGGACTGGGGAGCCAGCAGTGCCCAGTCCACTCCTGACACCTTCCAGGAGCAGGTGTGGGGTTTAGAACCCTCATGCAGGTCTGCAGCACCCAGGAGCTCTGCTCCTGGCTTCAGCCCACCACACAAACCCATTGGGACAGTTCCTTGCAGCGATCAGGTCCCACGAGCTGTGTGACACAAGGCCAGATCCTGCAAATGCACAGTGTCCCCAGTGCTACGGGGACCAGCCAGCACGAACCAGACCAAGGCAGCTGCAGCATCCCAGAGGCCCGCGGGATACAGGACAGGCGACAGAACAGCCACAGGAGGGTGCCAGAGCCCACAGTACGTGGCAGCTTACAAAGTTTGCAGATCCATCCCAAGCCCCACCATCCAGCTCCTCGGCAGCCAGTTTCCACCTGACAGGGAAAGTTGCTCCATCCCAGCATGGCCCGGGTGGGTGACACATGCCCCTGCCATCCTGTTCACCCTGGTCACGCGGGACAGGGGATCTCCTGCCTCTTCCAGATCAGCAGATGTTGGCCACCCTGGTCACTGACCATGCTCTAGCTCCTCGGCAGCCAGTTTCCACCTGACAGGGAAAGTTGCTCCATCCCAGCATGGCCCGGGTGGGTGACACATGCCCCTGCCATCCTGGTCACCCTGGTCTCCTGTCCCTTCCAGATCAGCAGATGTTGCCCACCCTGGTCACTGACCATGCTCCTCCCTGGAAAGCCAAGTAGGAATTCAGCACAAATCAAAGGAAAGCCACAAGGCAGGGCTGTTGAGCCCACCCTTACACAACTTTTCTTGCTAAAGACCCCAGCCGGGTCACATCCACCCACGGGTGCCACTGCGGGGTGCATCCTGCCAGCCTCCTGCCCCACAACCCAGCCTGTGGCTCTCCCACACCTGCTCCCTGCTTAAGAAGGCCAGTGGTTCCCCCGCCCCTGCCCCAGCTGCAGCCCCAGGTGAACTCCATTCCCCACAGTGCCTCACTGTGGGGCAAAGGATATCAAATCCCAAAAAGACAGAGTCAGCCTGTGTCCCCAGAGCATCTGCTGGGCCCCCAAAGGGGACGTGCTGCTGCTGGAGCTGCAGCAATGGGAAGGGGAAGACTGTGGCTCCAGGCTCTGGCTCCAGCTCCAGCACACGCTCCCCCCATGTGCTGTGACCCTGCCAGAGGTACTGCCCACACCTCCTAATGCCGAGCCTGCCCCGGGGACCAGCCTGGCTTAGGGGATAAAGGGCAAATTCAGGGAGAATGAAGACCAACACCGTCCTGCACTTCCCTGCCCCAGTCCTGTGCCTGCTGACTGTGCTGGGACACCTCCAGCTTGGAAGCACCGGGGCCAGCATGGGCAGTACAGGCCATGCCATGACACCTGTGATGTCGTGGGTGGTGACACGGTCTGCCCTCTCTCCGTGCCCTCTCTCCGGGCCCTCTCTCCGTGCCCTCTCTCCGTGCCCGCTCCGTGCCCGCTCCGCGCGGCCGCGGTGCCGCCGCCTGACGCTGAGAGGAGCCCCGGCACAGCGCAGCGGAGCGGCGGGAGGTGAGCCGGGGACACGGCTCGCTCAGACGGCTGTGGCGGCTGATGGCACACGGGGGACAGGAGCGGACACGTGTTGTTGTGTCGGAGCGTGGCCCTGCACGCGTGTGAGAGGATGCACGGGAGCCGTAAAGGCCACGCGGCCACCGCGGTCCGCTGGCAGTGCCCCGAGGCTGAAGGGACAGCGACAACACCACCGAGGAGGGGGACACGACACATCTGCCCACACCAGAGCCATCATCGCTTCCTCTCCTAGCCGGGCCCTCTCCTCCCGAGATGGCCTCCTGGCAGATGCATCCTTCCTAAGGCACCGACTGCTGGGCTGGTACCTGGCGAGGGAGTGCAGGGAGCTGCCGGGGGAATTCACGCTGGTTCCTGGCCATGAAATATTCATTAGCACAGCCGCCAAGAGAAGGGAGGAAATAAAAGATAAACAGAAGGGGATGGGGGAGAAGACATAATGCTTGCAGGCGGCTCAGCGTGGCACTGACAAGCCCATGGAGTGGCTGAATCAAGGTCTTTATAGCAGCCATCACACCAGCATGTGGGTCCCCTGGTGTCCATGCAAAGCCTGATTCACTGTAATGGATGTCGTGGGCACATAAACACTCTTAGAAAATGCAGCCAGGAAAGAGCAGTGCTAGCAGGCACATCTGGCATGGGTAGGGATGGGGCAGAATGCCCTGTGACAGGCACATCACCAAGGGGCACCATCATGGGTTGGTGGTCAGAGACTGTGCCTGTGCCAGCCCTGGATGGTGCCTGGGCTTCAAAGGATTTCAATTTGGGCTACAGCCCCTCAGGGATAACACCAGAGAAGGGCCCCAGCCCAGGGCCACCTTGGCCAGGGCATCTGTGAGCTCTCTGGAGTCATCCTGTGGCTGGCAGAAAGCAGATGCCAATATTTCTCTCAGGGAGGAAGAGCTGTCAGGATGGGAGGCACATTTCCAGTAATGAAGAAGGGCAATCAGGGCGGGAAGGAGGAAAATTTCCATTACCAAGGAAGGATAATCAGGGTTGGAAGGATGCAGGACATCCTTCGACCCTGTGCCAAGCCTCAGTCCACCTCTCAGGTCCACAGCAGCGGAGCAAATGCTCTGTTCTGTTTTTAAATAATTCAAACTCACCTTTTTCTTTTTGGCTGGAGGGCATACACATTCCAACAATGCCAGACCCACAGTTCCTTGGCAGGGAGAGCAGGTCCTGACTGGAGGGAGAGCTCAGCAAGACTCCCCCCAGAGCCAGGACACGATGGGGGAGAAGGAGGTGGCGATCCCAGCAGCAGGGATTACTTCAGGAGCCATGAGATTCTGGTTCCAGATACCCCACATCGGGGTGGGTGGCTCCGTGGGATCCCAACACCTCTGCCACCAGCAGAGGAAGGCTCAGCCCAGCCAGGCCTGCGTGCTGCTGCTCCGCTCCTGCCTCCTCCCAGCCCGGGGAAACCGCAGCCTCCGGCTCTGGGGGAAGTGCTGAAAACGTGATGCCAGAGAAAATAAATAAAGCGGCTAATGAGGTAATTTGCATAGCTATTAGCAGTCAGGATTTGCAGCGGGTCTGACATGGGATGTGCTGTCACAGCGAAGCGCAGCCCGAGGGCTCTGCTGCGCTCGCAGAGGGAAACACAAAACGCACCCACCGCAGGCAGGGCCACCCACCACCGGGGAGGCGAGGGGGCAGCCGCAAATCCAGCAGGGAGGCGAAGGAAGGCTCGGAGCAGGGCACACGGCCTGGGAGGAGCTGTGTGCTCCAACCGTGAGCCCCTCCTGCCTTCGGCCGCGGCTTGGCCATGGGAGCCAGCAGGGAGGCGAAGGAAGGCTCGGAGCAGGGCACACGGCCTGGGAGGAGCTGAGTGCTCCAACTGTGAGCCCCTCCTGCCTTTGGCCGCACAGCCCCCGTCTTGGTCCTGCCATGTACAGATCGTGGGCCAGCACACAGCTCCTACTTTGCCAAGGCTCAGAGAGCATCCATGAAAGGACGAGCTTGTAAAGGCCACGGAAAAGCTGCCAGCAGCCCAGGCTTCCTCGCAGGGCAGCCTTACATTGTCACAGCCAGCTGGCTCCATGTGCTTTCCCATCCAGAGCTGGCCACAGCTCCCTGCACCGCTTACATCTGCTTGCTCCCTTGTGAACCCGGCCTAAAACACATCCCAGGACAAGCACAAACCCTTTTCCACCCCAATCTCTGCTGCCAGCAAACCCACCTCATTCTGACTGCCAGCAGAAGGTGCAATTTTTGGGATGCAGGAGTGTGCATGAAGTATAACTCCATCAATAGCTCTGCATCATAACTGCACCCATCCCAAGCTGTTTGGGTCAGGCATCATTGAACCACAGCAGGCAGGAGGGCAGTGGCCATCCTGGCACATCCAGGAATGCAGGGACACATACCTAAAACCTGTGACACAGCTGGATCCCCAACCCGCTGTGCCCA